CTGCAAAAATGCTGAGTGAAGCATGACTTAGCAAAAAAATAAATAAGATAAAAAAGAAGCAAAACAGAAGCTAAAATTAGCAGAGCAGCAGCTAAAAATTAAATATCAGCAAAACTAAAGAAATAACCTAAATTTAACAAGACATTAGCTAAAACCTAAAATTAACTGATTTATAGCTAAAATCCAAATTGACAAGACTAAAATCTAACATAAACAATACAGTAGCTAAAGACCAAATCAACAAAAATCTAGGTAAAAGCTAAAATTAGCAAAACAGTTGCTAAAAAATTTTTATCAGCACAACCGAAGTAAAAAGTAAAATAAAACAATAGTTAAAACCTAAAAATAAGGAAACGGTCGCTGAAAATTAAAGTTAACATAACTGTAGTAAAAGCTAAAATTTGCAAGACAGTGTCCCAAACTACCAAAACCATAAAAAAATCAAAGCTTAGCAAACATCAAACCACAAACATGTGCTAGAGAGTAACTAAATTGTAAATTTTGATCTTGGAAAACCGGTCCACAGCAGCACGGTGGTGCAGTGGTTACAGCTGTCTCCTCTCAGGGACAAGGTCACAGGTTCGCCTCCTGGTCTGCATCCTGTCTGCAGTTCAATCTGCTCATCGTTTCAGTGTTTCAGCCTCCATCGGCTCAGAGCCTCTGATTCATGTCACGTTCTGTTCAGAACCACTGACCCACAGGACCGGTACCATAAAGCAGAGAGGCCCAAGACGCAGGTTCATCCATCACGTCTGCCAGGAGGAGGCTGCGATCGATGCAGAGGGTGACTGTCCTGCAGAAATGGGTCAAGCTCAGGCTGTCCTGACAGATTAACGTCACTGAGTCAGCAGCAGGACCGACGGGCCCGGCTGGAGACGTAATTCAGCTGCTCTGATTGGTACCAACCGCCCGGGGTCACACTCAGGCCCACTGGGTTAGACAGGATCTAATGAGCAGACTGAGTCCGGTCCAGACCTGTATGAACAGAGTCTATCTCTGCATCTGTAAACATCTGCTTCCAACTGAAAACCTTTAAATAACTCTCACAGGTCAAACCAAGAACTTTGACACCTGCAACACTAAACTGTTCATTTAACAGTGCTATATGTACTGTGTGGATTTGATCAAACACACAAAAAAGATCTTTTGTTCAACAAAAAACAATATTTTGTTGAATAAACGTGAAACAAAGACAGAAAAATCACACTTTTTTAATGCATCCACTGCTGTTCATGACTTGCTTTACCTTTAATGACTTTTTTTTTCAGGGAGATAATAAGTTTCGACAACAAAAAATAGATTCATTGTCTTTAAATCAAAACAAGATCAAATAAAAACTAAATTATATCAAATAAAATTATACAAATATAATATTTAAACACACGTTTGGACTGAGTGGTCCGAGTGTTTCCCACTTTTTGTCCATCGGTCGGATGGTTTGGGCTTAAAACTGCTGCAGAACCTGGTGGTCCAGGTCCTCAGGCTACAGAACCTGCTGGGTTCTGACAGGAGGTACCAAACAGAAGCTAAAATCAACAAAATAGTAATTAAACAATAGAGATCAGCAAAAAGCCTAAATTAGCAAAACAATAGCAGTAAAAGCTAAAATCCAACTTAACACAACTGTTAACAGCTAAAATTGACAAGACAGCAACTAAAGGCTAAATTAACAGACTTAGTTTTATTATAAAACTAGTGAGAGAGTAGCTAAAACCTGAAAAAAACTTAGTTAAAAGCTAAACCTAACCAAATTGTAGCTAAACCCTAAATTAACAAGACTTGCTGAAAACTAAAATTAGACCGTAGCTAAAAGCTAAGATTAGCAAACAGCAGTTAAAACTAAAATAAATCACCATAACCATAAGTAAAAACTAATATTAACAAAACCACAGCTAAAAGCTAAAATTAGCAAGACCATTGCTTACAGCTGAAATTAACAAGAAAGTAGCAAAAGGCTACATTAGCTAAAAGCTACAATTAAAGTTGTAGAAAAATGTTAAACCTAGCAAACCACTAAAATTACCAAGACAACAGCTAAAAGCTAAAATTAGCAAAACAGCAGCTAAAACTAAAAGAAATCACATAACCATAAGTAAAAACTAATATTAGCAAAACCATAGCTAAAAGCTAAAATTAGCAAGACTGTTGCTTACAGCTGAAATTAACAAGATAGCAAAAGGCTACATAAGCAAAGTGTTAGCTAAAGGCTAAATTTCACAAAACAATAGCTAAATAAATCAGCCAACGTAACCATGGGTAAATACTAAAACAAAATCATAGCTAAAACCTAAACTTACCAAAGCCATGTAAAAAAGCTCAAATTAGCGTAGCTATGGAAAACAGCTAAACTTAGTAAAGCACTAAAATTATTAAGACAGCTCAATTGTTTCAAACTCTTTATTAAAAGAAGAGACAGAAAATTAAACAAACAACAAAAAGGATGAAATGTTGAGCTGAACACACAACAAACAAACTACCTGAGTTTATTTCAGAGCTTGTTCATGTATTTTATTTTGAAAAACATAAAATAAAACGACCTCTGGAGTGTCTTAAGGTGTTTCCTGTTTGGCTACAAAGGAAATATTCAGCATAAAAAAGCTTTATTTTTTCTATACTTTGAAACATTGATTAAACCTAAACAAAGCCATGAGTGAAGCTACGTCTCTGACTCTGCAGGGCTCCTGCCTCCAGGCTGCAGCACGAAACCATGAGTCCATGGCTGGACCGGCCCGGCTCAGTTGTACATGGTCATTTGGAGCCACTGCAACCAAATAAAGACCAGGTAAATATGACAGAAGTGACAACAAACTGACAGTAACTTGTTGTTATACCTGTTTGTAGCTGACGGTTACTGTCCCCAGTCCCACCATGTCGTACGCCTGAAACTTGTCTGTAAGAGAAGAAAAAGACGTTCAGAGACGCGTCCAGAAATAAAGAAACCATTACCAACCTGATGGCTGAGAGATGAAAGTTTCCAGAAATGTTGCAATATTCACTAAATACAGGGGAACTTCCTGTGGCCTGTGTTCTTACGGATCATGCGCTCCAGCTTCATCAGCAGGTACAGGAAGCCGGGGTAGCTGATGGTCATGTCTGGTTCTGTGTATCTGAGTCCCACCAGCTGCATCACCAGCTCATCCACCTTGATACCTGCAGACACAGGTAAGTTCCACTCAGCCAGGTGTGATCAGACGTTCACATTTATTCTCATTCTGCATTATTTCTATGAAAGCAGAGGAGTTCATCTTGTGTGTTTTGGCACCACCTGCTGGTCAGATTTGGACTAACAGATAAAAAAAAGTTTTCTGTTTTTTTATTGTTGTTTTGTTGTTGTTTATTGACTCACCTGCTGCCTCCAGAGCTGGACAGACTTCCTGGTACTCGAGGCGATAAGTTTTATTCTTGTCAAACACCAAGAAGATGTCCTGAAGAGAGAAAAAACAGAAACTGACCCATCCGATAGAGAATATCTGGAGTCAAATAAAAATGTTTGTTTAAAGTTTAAATGCTTAAATTATATGTTTTTATCACTTTATAAGATTGAAAATGTTTTTTAATCGATTTATTTTGTATACAGCATCCTTCCAACATCATCTGCTCCTGGACTACAGTGAAGATGCTGAGCTGCTCGTACCGTCCACCTCCTGATTTTGTCCCACAGCGTCTGGAACTCCGGCCAGTTCAGCTGAGCGATGCCTTGGCTCTGGAGAAAATCCTGAGGTCAAGAGAACGTAACCTAAAAACAGTCCCTGAAGGCAGCTCAGCGTTTTATGTCTTTTATGTAACTAAAGGCTTAAAAAAAAACACAAGCTTTAATGCTACTGCTCCTCTACAAATAAAAACAATAGACACATTCCCTTTGGGAAAATCTGATTCTGTGAATTAAAAACACAGACTTTTATTTTGTTTTCTCCAAAGGATACGTCCATCAGGACCACCAGACTCTTGCAGTGCTCCAGAGACAAGAACTTCTCACTTCCTGCCAACACTGAAAGCCAACAGAGAGGCAGCAGATTTTAATATTTTACAAACGAGCTGCTCCTCTGAGCGTTTCCTCCTGAGGTTTGAGCTGAACGTACAGGAAGACATTAGGGTTCAAACAGAATATCTGTCAACAACAACAAGGTCTGTGACCCGGAAATCCAAACATGTCTGAAATATAATAAGGATTTATAAGGACTTCTTGGCTGGAATTATGTTTATATAATTTTGTAAATATTTGTGTTTTAACTGTTGGTGACTTTAAGAAGACAGTCTCACTCTGGACCTTGTGTTGTCTTTTGGATTAATGTTTTTAACGTAGAATTATGTGAAGCTGTGTTTTCTGATCATCTTGTGCTGTTGTGGTTTAAACACTAATTTCAACACATTGTGGAGTTTTTAAAGGGGGGGTGGAGCATTATGCAAAATCAACTTTTTTAGCTTCATATCACGTTATAATGTCATTCCCTCATCAAAAACAAACGCAGAGTGTTGATTTGACTCATCCATGCACGTTAGAGAAAACCTTGAACTTCCTGTGGTGGCCATGTGCTGCCTAAACACTTACTGGTACAAAGCTCCGCCCATTTACCCTAAGCTCCTCCCTGGAGTTCATATTTCCACTGGCCCACAGTGTCTGTCATAAAATTAATAATATGTGGCCCGCCAGCACTGTTGACTACAGGATAAAAAACAAGCATCTAAAAAAGATATTTTATGTTTCACCAGAAGATGTCAGTGTGATCATGTCCAGGCTGTTTCTAAAACTACTTTGAACAGTTGAGTTCAGCTGAGCTTCAACAACGATTTGAGGATTTTACAGCAGATTTTTACAGAGGAGGAGAGCTTTCCTCTCTGCTCCAGGGGCGGAGCTAGATTGTTTGCATGTGTTGGCACAGGGTGGCCAAGGTGTTTTAAAGGGGGCACATACAAATAAAAAAAGCACTCTGGATTTGAAAATTGAGAATGGTCGCCGCAGCTGATTCCAAAAGGCTTTGATTCAGCTGTTTTAAGAAAAACTGAGCTGAAAATTTGTGTGAATGATCACAAAACTTACTGAAAGCTAGTTCTGACAGTCATTCAGACTGACAAAGCTGAAGATTAGCATAGATGCTAAATGCTAATCAAAAATTCAAAGTGGCCACCACAGCTAACGTATTATTCAGCAATATCAAGATTTATAGATTAAATTTGTTGTGGAGTAACTTCTGCATGCCAATGCTAATCCCAAATTAAGCTAACCTCTAATGCTAATGCTAATTTTACAAAGGGCTATAATTCTGCCATTTTTCAACATAGTACAGTTTTATCAAAGAATCTTTAACAAAATCTAAATGCAAATACAAAATCCAAGATGCCCACTTCCTGTCAGTTATTAGGGGGTGGCACCCCTCTGACTCCGCCCCTGATCTGTTCTCTTTAGACCTTCATGAAGCTGCAGACAGATTAAATGAGAAAAATTACCTTTAAACAGAGGATAACTCACATTTTAAATTTCAGAAACCTACAAAGCAGCACTGAGCCCGATTCCCAGTCAGCTATACAGATAAACATCAACCTGTGAGGCGAACAAAGACCCCAACGGCTCTCAGTTTGGAGAGTACCATGTCCTGGATCAGTATAACTGCAGTGTGTAAGCAGGTCAGACACTGACCTCCCTGCTGGATGGCCTCGGTCAGAAGGTGATAGAGATGCAGCGGTTTGCAAAATCCTTTCTGATGACACAAACACAGAGTTCAGGATTCAGAGCTCAGCCTCTGATTTAAACCAGTTATTGCACATAACTTGTTTTTTTATTATCATTCTGCTCGGAGCTGCAGAAAAGCCCTCCAGCGGGGACATATTAAACGTCTCTGTGCAGGTAAGTCTCACCTTGTTGCAATGCTTCTTGTACAGATTTCTGATGGAATTAGGAGAAGGAAGAGCAGCTTGGTGAGGAAATGAAGTCTGAGGGGGGATAAAAACAGAAACCTGGGTTCAGAAACAAACATTTATTCAAACAGATTCTTCTCAGACTGTTTGTATATCTAATGCTTTAATTTTACAAACTGATCAATGATTAGTTAATCAATTAAAGATCTGGCGCCACCTGGAGGTCAAATATAAAAGTGCAGTTTAAAATTAATGGTAAATGATCAACACTAATGACAATAATCTGACAAAACTCCTCTATGGATTCTAAGTTTATGATATAAATGCTTTTCCTCTGATTACACGAATTAGTCATCAAACAATGCTTAATTAACAAATGGGAAGATAGATGCCAAAGAGCAGCTCACCTGAACAGGGACTTGAACCCTGGACCCTCAGATTAAAAGTCTGATGCTCTACCGACTGAGCTATCCAGGCCCTGACTCAACAACACAATCATCTAAAAATCTGACTTTTCAGGCATGAGGTGAGCACAGAAATCTGATAAATGTAAATAAAACAGGTCAGGTTCAGGAACAAGTTAAAACAGGTTCAAATTTATCCTTTAAATATTTTTATTTCCAGCAGTGAAGTGAGTTTAGTTTAAATCGTTCAGTTCTTTGTACTTTAGTTTAAATTTAACAGTAAAAATATCTTTATTTTTATTAGATGAACAGTTTTTATTCCTCGCTCTGAAACAGGGGAATAAAAAAGTCTGTTTACTCCGACCTTGGCAGACTCAGGATTCTTTAAAATCAGTTTAAATGTACTTTGTGTTAAAAGGTTTAAAAAACATGTTTTTGTACCTCTGTTACTGAAAACACGTCTTGAGGAGCTGGTTTCTGAGCTGGACTGAATAAAAAAACAAATAAACACAAAAAATTCATAATTTAAAGCAACAAATTCGGATCATCACAAATTCAGCTTTCAAGAAATATTCCCTGGATGAATGCTGAGTCAGCATACCTGAGCTACTTTAATTTGTGTTTTCTACTTTTAGCTTCAAACTAGACTTTTAATACTTTTCGCAAGGCTTTTGCCTTTTTTATCTTCTCAATGGCCTTTGAGCTAAGGTTTTTTTTAACTTTTACCCTTTAACTAGCCTTTTGATGTGTTAGCTTCTAGCTAGTATGTTGCTAAATTTAGCTAGTCTTTTATTAAATTAGCGTTTAGCTAGCATTCTGTCTTTAGCTAAACTTTTTCTACTTTTAGCTAACTTTATGTTGCTTTTAGCTAGTCTTTTATTGTTTTGGCTTTGAGCTAACCTTTTTCTACTTTCAGCTAACTTTAGCTAGCCTTTCATTATTTTGGCTTTTAGCCAACCCTTTGATACTTTTAGCTATGGTTTTGATTTTTTTTATATTTAGCTAGCCTGTCGTTAGTTAGCTTTAACAAGTTATTTTTAAATCTTTGCAAGCTTTTTGCTCCCTTTAGCATTCGTTTTGCTACAATTAGATATCCTATTTCTACTTTTAGCTATAACTTTGCATTATTAGCTAACAGCTAGTATTCTGCAGCTTTTAGCTTGAACAACTCAAGTTTTAGCTTTTTCTTGAAATACAAGTCATTCAGAATTCAGCATCCAGGCTACATTTTCAGAGAAAATTTATATTTTAATGCTTTACCAGGATATTTTAGCATATTTTTTGACGTATTTAAACCAAACATCTGAGCGTGACTCACGTGGCTTTGTTGCCCCGCTCCGTCAGAACCCGCAGGAGGAACTCTCCCTGCTGATTGAGCTCAGAGGTGGACGGGATGATGACGTATCGGCCCGGAGCGAGCGACCCGCGCAGGACCACCTCCCGGCGTGACGAGTACTGCTGGTAGAGGAGTGGGTGGAGCACACGCAGGTCGTCAGGTGACAGGTGTGTGTTCTGAGGGTGAGCCTGCAGACACAAAACTCCACTGAGCTTATTTCTCTTAAAACAGGCACTTAACATAACCTTTTAACAAATGGTTCTGATGAATCATTAATGTTGTTTCCATGCAAGAGAAGCTAACTTATAATGCTCTAAATATCTTCTTTATTTATAAAACACAAATGATTGGAGATATGAAGAATAAAAAAACATTTAGTGCCTGTGACATGCCAATCCTTCAAATACAAAAACGTCAAAGAAAACATATTTATTCTTAATAAAATTGACATACTACACGATTTTATCCATTTTGTCTCATAACTGGCCTGTTTTCTTTTGAACTTGGCTCACCCAAAGTGAAACAGGAAGTGACATCAAAGGGGAACTCTTTAATAAAATAAACTCTCCGGTCTTTGTTCATTAAAACTAAATTATTTAAACTTTAACTCTTCTTCATTTCTCTTTGATAGCGACTCAAAATAATCTAAAGAAACATCAGATTCTTCTCTACAGTCTCTGTTGTTAGCGGTTGTAACAACGCTCTGTTTACATGCTGACATTCCCCTTTGACATCACTTCCTGTTTCTTCACATGCAAATATCTCAACAACCGTTCATCTCAGCGGCGTGAAATATGTTTTGCAATATTTTATCAATGTTATCTTTCCAAAAATGCGTTCATGTTTATTACAAAAAAACTGATGTCACAGGCACTTTAAAGTAAGCAGATTTGACCTGTTTTAAACCATATTTTGCAGTAAAGATTATAGTTTTAGCCTAAATTCATACAGCACCAGTAAAAATGTTTAATTGTTGTGTTTGAGAAATCTCTGCTGATTTAAATTTGATTGTGAATTTTTACAGAGATAATTTAATTTTGACAGTTAAAGAGGACCTCGCCTGAACAGGGACTTGAACCCTGGACCCTCAGATTAAAAGTCTGATGCTCTACCGACTGAGCTATCCAGGCTCTGACTCAGGAGGGCCATGGACCGGTTCTGTGAGTACCGGGTAAACGTGCAGGCCAATGTTGAGGTGGACCCCTCTGCGCCTCTGGTATTTCTGCATCAGGGCCAGAATGAAGGAGCAGGTCTTCTGGCTGTTGGTGGGGTTTTGGTCCACCTCCGACAGGACAAAAAGGAACTGGGGGTTCTGCCAGAACCAGCCTGCAGAACCCAAACACACAAACAGGTCCAATCTCAGCAGCCATTTAATCTGATTTGTACTTTAGTACCGGAAGAAATCAATAAAACAAACGCAAACATGAGTTTCAAACTAACAAATTCAACAGGAAAATCATGTTCACCTTCATTTTTTAATTCTTTTTAGCTAAACTTATCATTTTTTCAAGCGTATGTTGTTGTTTTTTTTTATTAAATTATACCACTAACCAACATAAAAAGGCTTTAACTCAGACAGTTTTACAGATAATGAGTTAAATATTTGGTGGAATCTCACAATACTGCATTTAATTTAATCTTACTTTAAGACTAAAAAGGAACAGAAAACAGAACTCCTGCTCAGCCCCGAGGTCGTGTCGTTTTATTGTCTTTATCTGAGGATTTACCCAAACGCAGCTTTAATCAGACCGCACCTGCAGACGGACGGTGTGCAAATAAACCTGTCTAAACCTGACGTTGGGTTGAATATTATCACAGAAAACAAATGTCACGCCGTCTGTTTGAAACAGAAACAGACGCTGTTGAGCAGAAGACTTCAGACACTAAAGAAGGAGACATGTTTCCACAGCCGACAGCCGGACACTGGGTCTCACCGCTGACAGGCGAGCCTCCTGCCGTGATGCTCGGCACCCAGGTCCCGTGATGTGTGACGCAGCGCCACGGCTCCTCGCCGGCGCCGAGCTCACTCAGCCCCTCGGTCAGGTGACACACCTCCATCAGATCAAAGTTCAGCTGGAAGTCTGACACCGACATCCTGATGGGAGGCAGAAACACAGAGCTGAACCACCAGAACCAGACCCAGAACCAGCTGCTGCCACTCTGACCCTTCATATCTGCTGAGTCAGCAATCATATGATCAGGGCTAGCATGACTTTGTAACGTTTATGTTGACAAAATAATCAGTCTTATGTAAATTAAACTTCCACACAGAAATATTCTGAGGAAATTTAAATTCTTTCAAAAACATTGTTCTCTTTGAAAGTTTCTAGCTCTGTGTTTGCCCTCTTTTGCTACTTTTAGCCTTTAGCTGTTGCCTTGGTACTTTTAGCTTTTAGCAACTTTTCTGCTAGTTAGCTTTAGCATCTGTTTTGTTATGTTTAGCCATTGTTTGCTACTATTAGCTACTGTCTTGTTACTTTTAGCTCTTAGCAACTTTTATGCTCCTTTTAGCTACTTCCACTCATTTTAGCTTTGTGATCCACTTTGCTACTTTTAGCTATTATATTGTATTCTGTTGTGAGTCAAACTCCTGTTACTTAGCAAAGTTTCTGCTCCTTTTAGCTACAATTCTACTCATTTTAGTTTAGGATTTGTTTTGTTAGTTTTAGCTACTGTTTTGCTTAAGCATCTTTATTTTTAATTGAAGCTTTAGGATTTTTTATGCTTTTCTCTCATTTCAGCGTTAGCTTCTGTTTTGCTATGTTTAGCTATGAGCTTTTAGCTTTAGGTTAGCTCCTGTTTTGGTACTTTAAGCTAATGTTTTGCTCATTTTAGCTAATGATTTTCTAATTTAAGCTTTAGTCAATGTTTTGTCACTCTACAGTTGCATTTATTTTAGCTTTAGCATCTCTTTGCTGTTTTTAGCTACTGTTTTGTTAATTGAAGCTTTAGCATAAGTTTTGCTATTATTCTCTCCATTTGCACTCATTTGAGCTTTAGCGTCCGCTTTGCAATGTTTAGCTACTGATTTGCTGCCTTTAGCAGCAATTCTACTCATTGTAGGTTTACTTCACTACTTTTAGCTACTGTCTTGCTACCTTTAACTTTAAGCTATTGTACTGCTCCTTTTAGCTGCAGTTGTACTAATAGCTTTTGGATCTGCTTTACTACTTTTAGCTACTGTTTTTCTAATTTAAGCTTGCTACTACTCTCTACAGTTGCACTTTTATAGATGTTTAGCATATGTTTTGCTAATTTTAGCACGTTTTTGATAGTTTTAGCAACTCATCTTCCAGTTTAAGCCTCTGTTCTGCTGCTTTTATTTTTAGCTTGTGTTTTGCTAATTTCAGTCTCTGCTCATTTCAGCTTCTGTTCTGCTTGTTTAATTTTCACCATCTCGATTTGAGCTCATATAGCTGTTTTGAGCTGTCATCCAGTGGAGGCGTCTAAGCTTTGAATACCAGCGTGATTACAGAAAGGTGTGTTTGAGTTTTGCTGCTCTGCTTTTATCTCTGTCTATAAAACAGAAAGAACAGTTTGTTTGTGGAGGGCGTAGCGTGAAGCTCTGACTATCTCACCAGAACTCCCCGTCTTCCTGCTGCACTCTGCCGAGTCGTCTCTGCTCCTCGCTGCTCACCGTCCCCCACTCTGGGCTGAAAGGAGACAGAAAACCGTCACAGAATGACTCAACAGCAGTCCTGAGTCAGAGCCTGGATAGCTCAGTCGGTAGAGCATCAGACTTTTAATCTGAGGGTCCAGGGTTCAAGTCCCTGTTCAGGCGAGGACTTATTTACCTCACATCATTATTAGAAAAATTTAATTGGATTAACTATTTCAAGCACATACAAACCTTCTTGAGTCACTCCAGGGCCCGGTCCACTCCGTGTTTCCCCAAGGATTGAGGATTCGCACCAAATCTACATATCCATTCGTCGTCTTCACCTGACACAGCAAAAAAAAAAAAAAAAGATGGGAGACACTACTCTTTGACATTTGACATCAAAGCTCCTGCTCTTTCTGTTGCTCAGAGTTGAATTAATTTTTTTTCAAGGACAGGTACCTTCGTGACTGCCGTGAGCGAGTAGGCATGTCTGAACATGATCCCCATTTCATTCATCTGTTCAAGAGGACCCTGAAGAAGAAGAAACCATCCTCCCACAGTCAGCCACTGTACATGAGCAATACATGACTCTATACATGAACTCTCCCAACAGAAGCAGGTTCTGCCTTGCTGGTTCTCCTGCAGACCAGTTTGTGATCACAATAATAATAATAATAATAATAATAATAATAATAATAATCTGCACCTTGGTGTTAGCACAGTTAATAAGCGCTCCTTTGGCCAACAGGTGTGTGAGGAGGTCCGGGAGGTTTTTGGGTAACATGGCTGTGTTACAAACTTCAGCCACGCCCCCTGTCATGTCCACCATGGCTTCATGAGGAAAACCCATGTCCAGAGCTCTGTAACCTCCTTTCAGCCTGGAAAAACAACATAAACAGAACAAAAACTCAACAGAGGAAACAGATTTTCATCTAACAAATAAAAAACATCTAAAACTGCATCCTGCTATCTGGATGAGAAACTGACATATTTTCTGTGATTTTATGCTAGTTTATCCTATCTCATCTCATCTTTTCTCATCTAATTGTATCTCATTTCATCTAGTCTCAAACTATCTCATCTCATTTATCTCACTTCACTTAGTCTTATCCTATCTCATATTTTCTCATCTAATTCTAATTTCACTTAGTCTCATACTATCTCATGTGATCTCATCTCATCTTGTCTCATCTAATTTTATCTCATATCTTCTCATCTATTTTTGTACAATTTTTCTAATTTCACTTTATCTAATCTTGTAATTGTATTTCATTTCACAGAATCTCATATCTCATGCTATCTCATTCCATTTTGTCATATATCTAATCTCAAATATTTTCTTCTCATCTTATTCTCTCATCCTATTTTGTAAATATACGTTCTAATTTTGCCTCATCTTCCCATCTCATCTCATCCTGAACTCTCATTTAATCTCATCTCACCTCATCCTATCACATCTTTTCTCATCTTGTCTTGTCTAATTATATCTCATTTCACCTAGTCTCATACTTGCTCATGTCATCTCATGCTATCTTGTTTTATGAATCTTATTCTATCTATTTTCCTTTCATCCTATCTCACCATATTTTATGTCAGTTCATACTAGCTAATCTTGCCTCATCCTCCCATCTCATCATGAAATCCCATATAATCTCATCTCACCTCATCATATAACATCTTTTCTCATCTAATTATATCTCATCTCACCTAGTCTCATACTATCTCATGTCATCTTGTTTCATATATATCATTTTATATATTTTCCTCTCATCCCATTTTATGCCATCTCACACCATCTAGTGCCTCATCCTCCTATTTGGTCTGATCTCAGCTCATCTCATTTTATTTCATCTCATTCTATGCTATTTGATCTGATCTTGTCTCATCTTATCTCATCTTGTCCTAGATCATCTCATCTCATTCCATCTAATTGCACTGCTTTTAGAGCAAACCCCTCTTTGTTTTGACTTGACTAATCCCAACTGATGTGAAAATAATCCTCAAGCCAACCTTCCCACACTGACAGGCTCTTACTTGGCATAGGCCTTCTCCAGCAGTGAGCTCCAGAACTCTTTTTTCTCAGGCGAGCTGAGGTAAATCAGCTTGTCTCCCTGCGTCGGCAGCAAGTCGTCGACCCTCACCTCCTCCCACTCTCCGTACTGCCAGAACTAGAAAGGGTTGTCCTCGGATTAAACATTTGTCTAAGTGTCACCAAACAGAAAGTGCACATTATCTGAACATTAAGCTTTGGTGAGTATGTACTCTGAAGATGAAGCTGCCGTTGTAACCATCCTGGAAGCTCTGGTTCAGAGGCACCACCTTCTTCAGCAGCGTTGGATGCACCGCCAGAGAGGCTATAGCAGAGAGCACCCAGCAGTCACCTGCAGAGGACAGGTCAGACCATCAGGTGCAATCTGAACCATTTTACCCTCAAGAAAAACATTGAGTATTTTGACACTGTGGATCATTGTAATATCTAGAAATGTACTTTCATGACTGAAATCTTATCTGCCTGGGAGATCTCTGACTATTACTTTTAAAATGAGCTTTCTGCGACATGTGCTGTGAAGCACGGGGTCCCTCAAGGGTCTGTGCTCGGCCCCCTGCTCTTCTCACTTTATCTTTTGCCTCTTGGTCTTCTCCTGCATCCATTTAAAGTAACCTTTCACTGCTACGCTGACGATTTACAGCTGCACATGCCCTTCACATGTCTATATCTAAAAAATTCTTGCTTCTTAATGTTGACAAAACTGATTTATTGGTCATTGGACCTCAGAAGTTCCATGACTTGTCCCAGACCTTTACCTTGAAAGTTGATAATCGCGTCATTAAATGTCGAGAAAGGGTCAGAAACATGGGCGTGTGGCTCGATCCTGTGCTTTTTTTTTTTTTTTGCAATTAAAGTTTTTATCAAATTTTAAAACATAAGAAAAACACAACAAACATAATATAAAATAAAATAAAATAAATAAAAAAATAAAAAATGTAGTGAGGGGTAATGGTAAATGGACTGAATTTATAGAGCGCTTTTCAAGTCCCTCTGGACCCCAAAGTGTTTTACACTAACAGACATTCACCCATTCACACACTGATGATGGCAAACTACATGCTGCGTTTTCATTGAGTCTTTCTCTCCACATTTTAAAGGTTGGAGTCCAAGGTTCTTTCCAGAATGTTAAAATAAGACGAACGCAAGTCACAAATGCAGTGTTTAATACCCTGAAAGCCATTTTATCCAGCTGTGGCACTTCACTTGTCCTCCAACAAGCACAGTCTCAGTGATTCAGGTTATTTAAACTTTAGCCAGCCCCCCATAAATGACAACACTGCTCCAAATTGGAGAGACTCCTGGACATTCCCACAAAGCATGCAGGAGAGTTCCGACCCTGTGCTTTCTTTTGAGTTTCATTCAAAGTTAGTAACAAGGACCCTCTATTACCATCTTAGGAACATTGCTGAAATCCGGCACATTCTTTCATTTGATGATGCTGAGGTTCTTATCCATGCATTTGACTTCACACATCGACTATTGCAACGCTCAACTGGGAAATGTTTTAGAGTACTGCAGATGGTCCAAAATGCGTTTTAACTACTAGGAAATAGGACCATATTACCCATTTTGTCATCTCTTCACTGGTTGCCTTGTCAGGTACGAGCTGATTTTAAGGTCTTGCTGCTCACCTACAAGGCAGTGGCGGCTGGTCAATGGGGGCGCTAGGGCGCCGCCCCACCACTAACTTTGGTACACACAAAATAAATAAATAAATAAAACACTACGTGACATTGCAATGCTGTTTTTTTTTTCATTTGTTTAATAAATACTCTGGAGTGATACAACTTAGTACCTTTGGTTGTTTTCTGAGATATGTCTATTTTGCAGTTGTAGGCCCCCTGCAGAAAAATCCACCAGCCGCCTCTGCTACAAGGCTTTAATGGTCTGGTGCCCCCATATCTCTCTGACCTCTGGCACCCCATTTTCCACCTCGTTCTCTCCAATCTCAATACTGGCCTTTTAATAACTCCGAAAGCCAGAAGAAAAAGTGAATGTACTTTCTCAGGCAGGCCTGTTCTGTGGAGGTTTTTAAAGCAAAGTTGACTCACTTGTTTACTTTATCTTATGTGCCTTGTTCGATCTGTTTTTAGAAATTATTTTTTTACTACTTTTTACTGGTTAGCACTTCCGTTAGCTCTAAATACATCAAAATTATCATCATTGTTATTATTTTCTAATAAGATGTACTGTTATTTCCCTGCTTTCTGTATGACACACTTGTTCTTTGTTACAGTCATAACTCATCGTTTATGACCTTTATTGCAGTCATAAATAATGATGCTGGGCACATCAACTGGAAGTTTTTAACTGTTTAAAAACTTCCAGTTGATGTGCCCAGCATCATTATTTATGACTGATCTATCTGACATTGGCATGCGTGGGATAATTATTTAATGATGCTGATGAGTTTAAAGCAAAGTAAATAAGACAAGACAACCTGAGGGGTTTTGAAAGCTGAGCTGAGGAGAGAAGAAGGAGGAGGAGGAAGAGGAGGAGGAGGAGGAGGAGGAGGAGGAGAATCTTGTTTTTTTTTAGCCTGTTGGCTGAGGAAAACCTCACGCACTGAGTTTTCCCTGGCAGATGTCGAGTCGTGAAGCTCCATCGACGATGAACTGAGGCGAGGAACAGAGCTCCTGAACAGAAGAGGAAACGATGAGTTAGTCATCAGAACAAAGCAGTAACTTCATAATAATGTGAGCTCTAGTCTAGGATTACACACAGATCTGTGTCAAACAACTCCTGGTCAGTCTGTAAAAAAATAACACCATCATTTTCAAAGAAGACATAGGTGTATATTCTCAGAGAAGCAGAGGAACTTGTTCAGTTTGGTGCAGCAGCTTTGCAGAAACACATCCTGGCTTCTGTTCCAGCTGAAAGGACAGTTAATCCTCCTGACGTCTCGTGTTTTCACTACAGACAGGTTTGATTTTAGACCAAAGAGCCTCAAAAAAAAAGCTCGAGACATAATCTCCAGAACCAGCTTTGTTGTTCGTTTCATAACGTGTTCTCCAAAGCAAACGTTACTTTCAGGTTTAAACAAGTCTGGATGTGGATCTCAGAACGACCGAGTCCCTTCTGAGAATCTGAGGCTCGTGTGACTCCAACGGTTTAACGCAGAGGAACAAAGTCCTTTCTGACAGGTTATAAAATAATAAAAACTTAGTGTAACTAGACCTCCTCACCTTCAATTAAACTAACAGACGTATTTAGAGCTAACGGTAGTTAAGCTGTTCTTAGCTCAGATAACCTGAACCTGGGCTCCTGTGTGGAGTTTTAAAAATAATGCTTTTAAAATGTCATAAATGACACTACTTGACCAACTTTAACTTTATTACCAACAAAGACAAATCAGACTGAAAACTTCACGCAAACAAAATAGAATTAAATAAACAAACTCATAATGACTGATATTAACATGTCTCGGCAAGCCTAACAAGTTCAGGTCAGATTAAGTTTGCCTACATACCAAAGAACAGTTTTATTAAAGTGAAAATAATTAATAGTCTGCAGGTCAGGAGGTGCAAACTCTTCAGGTGGAGGTAATTAACCGGAAACCAGTCAGTTTGTTGCACAAAGAGGGAAGTTTTTTTTATTTCTTCACGCTGTCAGTCAGACCGGTTTGTTAATCCAGCTGCTTTGACTCAGATTGTAAGAGGAAGACCAACAAAAACCTCACGTTACAAGACACTAAGACTTCATGAATTAGAAATATAATATTTATTTATAAATCTCATGGTTTGCATCATTTTTTTGCAATTGTTCTGTAACGTTACACGACATCAAGCTGAACCGTAAAGATGATAAATCTCTCACAAAGCACCTTTTAACATAACTTTTTTTAAACATTCAGGCTTTTGTTCATTAATCTGTCCATTTCTGCTACAAAATAATAATAAATGTTTGAAACGTTGAGCCCAAAGGTTCAGTTCACAAACTTTTCAAACATTTTCAGGGTTAAATAAATTAACTCTGCTCAGGGTTAAATAAATTAAAATTGCAAACAACAGATTTTAAATATTGAGATAGTTTTAAATGATTGAAATGCATTTTATTTACATTAAATTGGTTTATAACAAGATTTAATTAGACTTTAACCGGCTGTGCTGAATTAAATTTGACTGGAGTGAATGAAATTTAAGTAAATTGGATTAAATTAAAAGGAACTGACTCCTTTTTATGACCCTTAACCCTCCTGCTGTCCCTCATTTTGTTGTAATAAAATGATTATAATTAATATGTTATTACTGTGAAGCAACAAATGAAACATTTAAATACTTTTATTTATTTACCGTTGGTCGCTTCCACCGTACCCCTGTCTGCATCTCCAGCTCCCCCACAGGGAAGTGGTGGTCCACGAAGAGCCCGTCCCGACCCACCGCGCTCACGTCCCCGCTCCGAGGGGGCATGTCGGCCGCCAGCAGGTCCGCCAGCCAGCGGCGGGACTGGGAGCCCATCAGCTCGTCCGAGTCCACATCCTCAGGGTCCGGGGAGGTCGGGCAGCCCTCAGAGGACAAACTGACGCTCCGAGACTGGGTCATCTCTGAGCCGAACTGGAAACTGCACTGGACTCCTCTGGAGCCGACTGCAGGTAATAACAGAGCCGAGGCCACGCCCCTCTGCTGCACACCTTTACTGAGGGCGAGGCTTATTTTTCAGCACAAGGTTTATGGTTTCATTTATCAACTTTGTTGATTTGTTTTCATCGCTTTTGAGCAGTTTTAGTTCAAATTATTATTTTTAGGGGAATAAAACATAATTGGAAAAGTTCTATTTTATCAAGTTGTACAATTATTCAGATCTAACCTAAAAAATAAATAATATATTCCAACACATGATTGTTTCTTATTAAACAAAAATGAAGCCAAAATAAAAGAACTATGTGAGGAAAAACTGTCCAGTCCTTCTCCTCCAAGTTCTCAGAAGTGGTTTCTTGGTTGTGGAAGGATTTTGGCCCACTCTTCTTCAGATCTGTTCGCACTCTTTTGTTTTTGACCCATTCTGTTGTAGATCAGATGTTGTTTTTGGGATTATTGTTCTGTTGGACCCAGTTTGGTCCGATGGACTCAGAATGTAGAATTCCCAGATCATCAGCCCTCTGTGCCGACAGCAAGGAGGAAATGTTTCTGATTTTATTTTTTAAACGCCCCTACTTCGGTTTAGTTTTATTTAACGTCCTGATGCATCTCAGTAATCCAGGTAAAAAAATCAAAAAGAAAAAAACTGTATAGGTCCTCTGGACGGGTTCTTCTC